AACTCAGTGAGGTTCCTTGATGTCCTTGCAGAAAGGAACTTAAGGATGGGTCAAAGTGAGGTGCAGATTAAATTTACTAAGTGAAAGAAAGAAGTGCACACATCTGAGAGACAGGAGGAGTACAGGCTTTGGAGAGGAATGAATCAGCTGCCTGTTAGGCACACTTACATGTGTAAAATCACCTAAGGGTATTTTTAGTTCTCCTTTCATAGGTAACCGGACATGTCGACCATTACTGGGCTGGGATTTCTTTTCTTCTTTGATATATTAGTGCACCTGTGGATAAGATCTAATAAATGATTTAATGGTGTTTTTTTTCTGGTCAAGGTATGTGAAAGTGACTTTTAAATTGAGACTTTAAGTCCATACAAAAGTGGACTTGAAATCTAGAATTTAAATTGTGGCCACTCTAGTGTTGCCCCACATTCCTGCTTCCTACCTGTCCTGTCTTCTGTCCTACCTCATTTCCATTTGTTTCCATGTGCTTACATTGGCTTATATAAAATGATTCATGGTGTCTATGGATTCATATGTGATACCAGTCACTAGACAGACTTCTGAATTTTTACTTTAGAAACTGCACAATTTGGATATAGTGAATCTTCACTCAAACAAGTTGGATTTTATAACTAGCCAAGAAAATAAATGGTTTGAATAGGGAAAATTAAATAATTCCCTTTAATAAAGTGGTGTGGAATTTAAGAATGCATATAAATCCATTATATATGAAGTTGAACCTTTTTTTTTAAAGATGAGCTGAAGAAGAGTATTATGCCTATTATGTTGAAGTTGTTTTATTACAATTAATCAGGAAAGGGTTGTATATAAATTTATCTTCATTATTAAATGATAAGGAGTATCTTTATAGATCGACAGAGAGATTATAATAGCATTAAAATAAAATTATAATATATTAAATACAGGACATTTGGGGGATACAGAAAATTTAAAAATATAAAATATTTGTATTTTTCTAGCTCTGAATGTGTGTCCCATGGATGTTGTGAAATTTCCAAATTCCTTCATGTTCTCACGGTCACTGCTTCCTTTGAAACAGTTTGGCTCAGGTGTTTTCTGCCAGTTCTGTGCTTGTTGTCCACACTTCACTCTTTAGAAATGGAAACATAGACATCCTTCACCCTCCCTTTTCTTTAAAGCCAACAGAAGAAAGCAAAATTAGATTAAACAGCAATATTTACAAAGGAGGAGAGAGAGTGTGTGTGTGTGTGTGTGTGTGTGTGTGTGTGTGTATAGTGGAGAGATTGACAGAGCAGTGATCTAATTAGCTTTAACCTGGAATGTTAGACATCTCTGTTTAAAAAAGTCCCTGCACAGGTGTTTTTTTTTTTTTTTCTCCTTGTGCTTAAGCTTTTCCCTATGTTCTCCACTGACCCATCTCTTCATTTTCTATTCCTTTCCTTAGAGTTTTTTTTAATTTATAGATCATTCATATCTTTCTAGCATCTATTTGAAACCAGCTCCAGGCCTCTATGTGTGTCTAAGGACATGATAGAAGTTTTGAAATATATAGATACTGGGAATTATACCATTACCTTTCTTATCCACATGTTTTACATCTGGAGATTGAATTAACCATGGATCAGAAATATATTTTTTTTAAAGAGAGAGAGAAGTTTTTGAATATTTATTTTTTAGTTTTCGGTGGACACCACATCTTTATTTTATATTTACGTGGTGCTGAGGATCAAACCCAGTGCCCCGCATATGCCAGGCGAGCGCACTATCACTTGAGCACATCCCCAGCCCCCAAAATATTTTTAAAAAATTCATCTGTATAAAATATAAACAGGTTAGATTTTCTTGTCTTTATCCCCCAAATACTGTAGTATAACTGTTCATATAGCATTTATATTGTATTAGATATCACAAGTAATCTACAGACAATATAAAGGATGGGTATTTACAAATACTACACCATTTTATAAGAGGGACTTGGGCATCCCTGAACAATGTATCTGCTGGGGTTCTGGAACCAATTTCCCAGAGAAACTGAGGGACAGCTGCATGGTCTTTTTCTAAAAGTGGGAGGGGTTTGATGAGGTTTTCTTCTAGTTGCACATACCATGAAAAAAATTATTTTCATTTTGATACTCTAATATCATAAAAGTAATCTCTAAACAGTAAATTTATATTGCTACTTTAAAGTATAGGATATTGAAGGGTAGTGGTTTCCAAAAGCTATTCCTCAGAGTAGTCTGGGGCAGTGTTTGAAATGACAGATTCTCCTCATGCTCAAGTCAGGAAGTTCTGATGTGGCCAATCTAGGGTGGTGTCACTCAGGAATCTGTATGTAGATGACTTAGCATGGGAACAAATGCTCTGGGCTTCACTGTCTTCCTTTTTAGTCATTGGGTTCAGTGATGCAATGTCAATGACACCCAGGGATATCCATCTAGACTCAGGAACCTATCTTACAAGTACTTATAATTTTTTTTTTTAATAAGTAACCATCCTGGCTTTTTCAGGACTGTTTAGGTTTCAGTGCCATGTCCTGAGAAACTGCTCAGTCCTGAAATTTACCAGARCAGTTGGTAATAGATAAGTGTCTATTAAAAATAGCTGGATCTATTTAGTGTCTGTAACTATTCTTAAATATTTACTTATGAGTAGTCTATTTTAAGGTTAAAATTGTGGGAGTAAAATTTTAAGCAAGAGCTGAAAGGGGTGAAAGGGTCAGAACAGCATTCCTATTTCTGCATGGATGTGAGCTCAGATTATGCAACTAGGGTAAACTGAAGGAGAGAACATGCCTTTTGAAACTTTGTGTGAACTGATCATCTTTGTCTCCAAACCTACAAAAGTCTCAATAGGAAGTTTCAGGGAAATAATAATGCAGTTCCCTACAATGATTGCCTGAGTTTGGACATTGAGTGTGACTTAGAATCAGACTACCTAGACATATGATAGGTGATTGAAAATGTGAGCCTGGCAATTAGATGATAAGAAAGGCATAGAAAACTAACCTTCCAAAGAACTAATTTCCAAAATGAATTAAATTGATTACCATAAATTGATTCTATTGTTTTGGACTCATAACAACATTTTGGATTCCAATTTATATTTCTAGACCATAGAAATAGGAATAATTGACAGTGTTGATAATGAATAGATTCTAAGGTTAGAAATAGCCTTGCAGAAAGGGTAGTTGAGACWTGAGAAAAATCAGAAAATCCATGKTAAAGGGGAGGAGTATCATGATGGACTATGGAGACTAGAACACAGTCAGCAGCACTGAAAGGAACAGAGTGTCACAGGTGATTGATTGAGATGGGGCATCATGGGTGAGGTGGGGGGGTATACCCAATGATTGGCRGGATGAATAAAAATGAATAACTGAAGAAAGTAACTGGTTTTATGAGAATATAAATACCAAATATTAAAATAGCCATTTGAATTCAACTCTAAATTCAGCAGATCTTTGCATTATTAAAATAACAAATATTTGTTGGATTTATTGTAGATTAGGAACTAACATCCATTGGAAAGTTTAAAGTACTTGATTTTTCTTTCTCCAAATGTTACTGATGCATAAGTTTGGGGGAGGATGTGGAAGAAGCTCTGTTTTTGTTCCCTTAATGAACCCTTTAGGTCTTATTGTAATTCTTTCTTGAATGCCTCCCAATTCTTCTTGTCCACTAATGTTTTTTCCCCTAGGGAAGGTGAAAATATTGTGTTTTCAGTCTGATACCTGGGAATGTTTCACAAATCTTTATGTAACCCATAGAACTATAAGTATAATCTCCATGTGTCTCAGTTTCCTCATCTTCAAAATAAGTACATTGAACCATAGTTGAGCTCTAATTTACCTTCCATTTTAAAAAAAATCTCTGCTTCCAGACCAGCCTAAAAGTATTATCCAATGACAATTCTCAGCCCTAAATTTGCCTAAACGTAGGCACAATTACTTTGACATTCATTTTGAGAGATCTACATCTTTTTAATAGAAAATTTAAATAGAAAATTGAGATCAAAGAGAAAATAAATTGAATGATTCTTTTAAAGATAACTGGAGTCATTTAACAATACATTGTCATATAATAGTTATAAAAAAGCTCCCAAATACAGCATATTCAAAACAAGAACAGATAAGAAGGGGGAAGAACTTACTTTTTTTWAAAAAAAWTTATTTATGGGTGGACACAATATTTTTATTWTTTTTTACTTATTTTTATGTGGTGCTGAGGATTGAACCCAGTGCCTCACATGGGTGAAGCAAGTGCTGAGCTACAACCCCAGCCGCTCCCCTCCAAGAACTTAGTTACTTAGTTTTAGCCGCTAATAAAATATGATGCTCTTGGAGCTCAGAGAGATGACATTCTCTACCTTTTACTTAAAAGATCTAGTCACTATCAAAATGTTATATAATTACTACAATGTACGATATAATGGAATTTAATAAGGTGGAAATACAGATAATGAAACTATACTTCTCTATATTTTATCTTTTTGTTACTAATGCAATAATTTCCGCTCTTTTTAAAGAAAYAAATTCAATACCCAATTTAAAAACCTAAATGGGATGCCGGGTGCAGTGGTSCCCACCTATATATAATCCCAGTGGTTTGGGAGGCAGAGGCAGGTGGACTGCAAAGTTCAAAGTCAACCTTTGCARCTTAGGGAGACCCTGTCTCAAAATAAAAAGTACTGGGGATTTGGTTCAGTGGTTAAGGGCCATTGGGTTCAATCCCTGGCACTAAAACCAATAAAACAAAACAAACCACCTGGCTGGGAGGCTGGGGATACAACTCCATGGTAGAGTGCTTGTTTAGCATGTGCAGGTCCCTGGATTTGATCTCCAGCACTGAAACAAAACAAAACAAACAAAACTCAATAATGTGGAATTAATCAGAAATAAAATCTAATGGTTTGTATTTCGGTAAATATACTAAGTGCCTCCAACGATGGAAATGTTTGTGCTAATGCCATCTTTTATTGAAATCTGTCAATGTCAAGTGATGGTTTTTCCTTTTATTTTGCAGGACTAGAGCGAATTGCTCGGGATTCATCTTATGAACAGGAAGGGAAAGTCCAATTTGTAATCGATGCAGTGTATTCCATGGCTTATGCCCTGCACAATATGCACAAAGATCTCTGTCCTGGATACATCGGCCTTTGCCCACGGATGAGCACCATTGATGGGAAGGAGCTACTTGGTTATATTAGGGCTGTAAATTTTAACGGTAAGTTGCAACTTTTTTGTGTGGTCTCTAAATGCTTTAGAAGTGACAGGATGCTTTTGTCCCCCCTATATATAGAAGATACTCAGGCAGAGTGGAAAGCACAGGATTAGAAACAGTTCTCCTTTTTAATCAGAAGTGTGAGTTTTTCCACCTGCTTTTAAATCTCAACATATTTTTTTTTATGTTACCATTAATCTGCTTCTGAAAGAAGCAAAAGTTAAAAATAAGCCTCTATCAATCAAAATATTCTACTTAAATATTGCTATTTCAGAAACAACTTAGAAGGCTCATTCAAAACCAYTGACGACAGATTAGATTTATTTGAAAATGTTTTGTTCATGCCATTATTAGAGAAAAGATTATAGACGTTTTGTTTTGAAACTCATTTTAAGGTTTTTAAACAGTAAATTGACTTGAAGAAAATGGATGATCTGGAGTGGCTCTATATTTATATTCTTAAGAGTGTTGAGTTTCTGTGACTTCTTTTCTTTCCTTGTGTTTCTCTCAATGATTTAGTCAGTTGGAAGCAAAGAGCTGCATACAATGCTGTGTAGATAGGATTTTTCTACTGTAGAAGAAGAAATCTTACTTCTGTGACTGTCACAAGAAGCTGTTATAGAATGTCCTGGTTTCATAGTATTAGGTAGAGAAGAGCCAAACTACCCTGTCTGAAGTGATGGAATTATTGAATGCTGCTGTTCTTTCATGAGAGTTGTAATGGTTGCTGCCCATGACTTTGACCATTATTTTCAAATGAAATGATAGAATGCTCTGAGCTGTCTAATTCTTTCAGTTTGGCTGTAATCCGAACAATGGACATGCCTCCAAGCCACGCACAGYGCGGCACTGTCCATCACAATGCACTCCAGTGACCTCCGCTGCCAGCCTTTCTCAAAACAGCACAAGGTCATCTTCAATTTAGAATTCAAGTGGAAACTTCTTATTTTGCTTTTTCTCAGGCAACATAAGGCAGAATTTGGTTTCCATTCAACACATAATATTCTCCTTTCTAGCAGAAATATTTGAGAATCATTACATGGCATTAATTCTTTGGTTAATATAAACACTAAGGAAAACGTTTGAAAATAATTTTCATGCAGTTATCAAACTGAGCAAGAGGATTGTTACAGTGTAAAGTTATTTACACTAATGTGAGGTTGGGAACACTTCATTTATCCATTAGTGTTAGGAAGTAGGAAGTAGAATGCAAATGAGGAAATTTTCTCAATTAGTGAGGCTCACCTTCAGAAAGGGAAATCTTTTCAAGAAGCACTGATGAAAGCATTTTAAAGGTGAATTACTAATTTCCCTTTTATCTTAACCATAGATCAAAACCTAACCCTTCCTTGATGACTCCAATTATTACACCATACTATAATATAATTGTGCTATTATGGACTATTAAAGAATGTCTGCATGTCTAATGGCTATTAACAGAATTTGCCTCTAGACACCAATGATCTCTGAGTTCTCTTGTCCACTTTGCACAGGTTTTATTTCCCCTGCTAGATTATCAGAATTTGGCGCTGCTGTTCTTGCCTTTAGGCATGATTCCTTCCATAATCTGCTTTCTTTCAATCCAATATGGACAGAGAAGCAAATATAACACTTCATTAATTCAGTCAAGATGTTTAATTGAGCATATATGCTTTGCTCAGCAATATGATAGGTGCTAAACATATATTACTGGTGAGTCATGGGAATTTAGAATTTGTTTTTTTTTTTGTGAACTTAGATAACCAGTCAAGTAAATACCCCCAAACTATAATTATATTACCTACAATGAATKCTGCAAAGGGAGAGGTGCTGGAATTAGTATTTATAGTGAGGGAAATTTCTCTGATCTAGGGAGTTATAAACAGGTGAAATCTTAAGGAGCTTCATGTCTAAGATGGAGCCATAGACAGAGTGATATGAGACCATGTGAGGTCTTTTAGGCAATTCCTAATGTTTGCTCTTATCTGAAAAATAATAGGAACCTACTGAAGTACAACAGTACTCTGTCTGATGCAATATTAAGTACACTATGGAGAAGAGTCATGGAAAATACTTGAATTTTACTGTATGAACTTGAATTTCTTTGAGCTCCTTAGAGATTTATTTTGCAAGGCTTTAGATTTGCCTGTATTCCAATAGCTGATGATAAAGGGAGAGAGGCCTGAACATAGGSAAATTATCATGGACTATATAATTCTCTTGATTTCCCTCAATTTTCAGGATGTTCATCATTGTTTTATTTCATTATTGGTTTATCTATTAATGKTCATTCATCATTAATATTTTGCCTGTTTAAAAATAAAAGAGAATAGGAATATACCATCATCAAAACTATTACAGGAGGAAGAAATGAATATTGTAACCCAAATAAGGGCCTGTGTTAGTTCTGAGCTTCCTACGCAGTCGAAGCACAAAGGAACCTGCAATGAAAATTATGTGATAAGAACAAGTCTGTTTTTCAAAAGAGAATAAATTTTCTTGGAAATTATTTCTACAAGAAAAAGTATCATATGGGGTTTTGACAGTCAAGTGAGCAATGCTATTTAACAAAATCATACAGAAAAAGTCAMAACCTTCTCTTCAGCTATTTTGCACCTGTACCCACAATCAAAACTAAGAAATGTAATGTTTAGAAAACCAAAGCTACTTCATTAAAGGTGTTTTCAAGGAGGAGGAAGACCTTTTCTTGATCTAGATTTGTAACTSTTTTGCACTCTGATGATGTGGGATGAACCGTACTCTGAGAAGAATAAATGAAGAACATCTTCCTTATACTCTTTTTAAAAAAATTTAACTTCCTACTCATAAATCTGACATTTTGATCAGTTGAAGTAAGAGCTGCTGGGTTGAAGGGATTGGCGTAACTCTGGCCAATACACTTCTCAGTTTTACTCGCTGGACTTGGTGTTACCTTGAAGGGTACCAGTAGCTGTATAAGGAACTTACTTCTGTCCCGCAGACTTRCATATCATTGCTCTTTGCAGGAATTGTACTGTAAGTAGATGTTTGGAATTTGTTTTTGGAAATCTAGCAAACAACTATGTTGCATTGTTCACTGGATCCTTGTGGAGTGGGTTGTGTTGGTGACAACAATTGTTCTCATCTGGGGGACAGCCAGCCTATTTCCTAAAGATTGGAAATGCAGGGGCTTTTGGCCACACCACATATTCCTCAGGACCAGTTTTAATTTCCTGAAGAGCCCAGATGTGCTCAGCTAGACCCAGCGCTGCTTACCATACGTAATACAAAAAATATACTATACACTGGAAAGGTCTTAGCATACTGTTATCAGTTGTCAAACAATGGGCTTCCCAGGGCTACTTCCAGTGTTGTACAATGTGGCTTMCAGTTCCTATCAGGATCAGTGAACTACATGATGTTCTCTCAAAAGAAAAAACAAAACAAAACAACAACAACAACAAAACTTAACCCATTGCATGAAATTATTTAGCAGTGCCCAGTTAAATATTGAATAGTGACTGTGCTGAAGTGCTATTTCTGTGTGGATGATGTTAAACTATTTCACATTAATATGAGGGCTTTAAACTGTTTCTTTTTGACATTAATATGGGCATATATCGCTTTTTGTGGTCCCTTCTAGTCAAGATAGTAAAACTATGTCATGTTTCGAGGAAGACTATAAGAGCAGGAGATAAAGCAGTACAAGCTGCTGAATGCTGCAAAGGCCATTGGTGTAAAAGGGAATCATGTTTAAAATTTAGTCTTGCTGAGATTGTAAGCAGGGATGTGGTATGCCTACTTAAGCAGTGGTTTCAAGACACTCAGTTTAAAAAATCATGTTTCTTCCAGAGTATTGTTTGACAATGTGAAGAGTATAAGAGAACTATAATGATAAAACATTAGTATTTCAGTTCAAAATTTGTCTCTCAGAAATTACTAAAGGTGAAATATTTAGTCAGATTACTAAACTAAAAAACTTAAGTTACTTTTGGCAACAAAAACATAAGCTACAATGGAGGTTTGATTGATTTTTAATACTCAAACTATTTTTTTTATCATTGCTGGAAAATTTTACTTTCCCATCTCCTGAATCTGTATTGCAAGCACATTCAGAATCATGACAGGCTTAGAATCACTCGMGTTTTCCTTACAAGTTTTCTCAACCTCTCTTCTCTACTTGGGAAGCCAGAGGAAAACAACGACTTGACTTTTTAGGATTACTTTTATTGCTACTATTTGAACAAAATGCTATTTCTATAAATTTTTTAAATCCTAAGACCTATCAAAAGAAAAACATAAAGAAAAGGAGTTCAGATTTTTTTTTTTTTTTTAGGAACTTAAGCAACTATGTCAACTCCTTACTCCAAGGCAATAAAATATTAATACTGTACATCTTGTACGGAATCAAAGATTCTTCTGTTGCTATGAAAACCTTATTTATCATAAAGAAAAAGTGTTGGGCAGAATTCCTGAGATATCTCTCCATTCCTTTTACCTATAGTTGAGCTCATGTCAGGAGTGAGTCAAGCCTAATGGCATATTAATTTGGTTTGTTTGATTGCAGGTAACAAAAAGCAATTTAAGCTTGCTTAATTATGCTGATAGAATTTATGAGCATGTGTCAAGAAAAACCATAGCAGAATATAAAAGGGTCTAAGAAAAGAACTGGTTCTAGGAAAGGTAAACCTGACAGAAACTCAAACATCTTTCTGTATGTGTCTCTGCACCATCTGGTTSTCTTTGTACTGATTCTCTCTACTTTTAGCTCTCTGGTGGTGCACAGAGCCATCCTACACTGCTAGAATTTAGCCATTCTTGGTTCAGGACACCTGCTGACACTAAGGATTTTTTTCAAACTCTCAATTCCAACTATGTGGAAGCTTGAATCTCATTAAAAAACTTTGGTTGGGTATCAGTTCTGCTCCAAATTATCAGTGTCCAGGAGCAAGTAGTACAAATTTGGTTGTCATGAGTCCTGCCTTGAGGATGAAGAGGCTATTTTGGAAGTTCCTCTAAGCAATKTATGGGGAAAGTTATAACAG